TTTAACATCCTTCCCGAAAAGAATCAACGAATTAGTATTGAATATAATAAACGCAAATTTAATGTTACATTTAGTCTCACCAGATTTAGTTTCTTCAGATTTGGTTTCTTCGGACTTAGTTGCTTCGGATTTAGTTTCTTCAGATTTAATCTCATTTTCGGCTAGTTTAGAAGCAGCTTCAATTCGGCGTGCTTCTTCTTCCATCTGTTTTGCAATGTCTTCAGGGTTCATATCTCTATATTTCTCAACCAACCCTAAAACTTTTTCAGGGATAAGATCGATATCATTTCTGTACAACACCATAGTCATCATAACTTCACAGGGAGGTAATAAATGTTCTGGAATTTTTTGTAAAACATCCTCAGGAAATTCTGCTTTTTGATTTTCAACGACACTGCGATACATTTTTCTTATTTGATAATGTGTGCAATATTCGAGATTCAAATGTACATCCATACGACCAGGGCGAATGCTTTAAAATTTTGAAAAAATGATTAAATGTTAATTAAATATGAAATAACTATTGTTATCGTTATGTTAATTATACTAACCAAGCAGGATCTAGATGTTCAACATGATTTGTGGTCATAATTATTATATTACCTTCAGATAATACATGACCATCTAAACATCCAAGGAAATTTGATAAACTAATCATAGAAAATCCTGATCCGGTTCCTTTACCCCCTTTATTGTCGTCGGACGAAATTCCTTTGGAAAATTTATCAACATCATCACTACGTCTTTTGTGAAGAATTTTTGATTGTGCATCAACATCTTCGAGGATAATTATTTGGTTAGATGGTACTGAACTAAATGCTGCACTCATTTCATTATCACTTGTTATATTTTTAAGATTAATATAATAAAGGTCACGTGATAAATGTGAAGATATTGCGTTTATCAAACTGGTTTTTCCCGTCCCCGGTTTTCCAAAGAAAAGAAATCCACGCCTATAAGGCATACCAATCCTTCCATAGAATTCTTTATCACTAACAAATGTATCCAATTCCTTTTTCAATAATTGTTCTTGTTTTTCATCTAAAGCTACCGTTTCCAATCCTCTAATCGATGATAAACTTTGTACTCTATACCAATATCCGTCAGTACGTTCGTATCTCGCACGTATTTTATCCTTTTTTTGTGCTTCAAGGTATGAACGTGTCACTTCATTAATAAATTCGGAAATCGAATCTACACTAGTTTTTGAATCTTCAACTGTCGTTAAATAAATTGAAGGCATTGCCTTTGCTGAAGCAGAAGAATAACTATTGTTGTTGTTGTTGTTAGAATTTTCAGTATTCTCCCCTTCTGGCAGACTAAATGTAACATTAAATTTGCGTTTATTATATTCAATACTAATTCGTTGATTCTTTTCGGGAAGGATGTTAAA